AGGCTTTTCTTGTAAATTCTATAACTTTGCAAAGAAAGGTCATGTAGAGCTGGGAGATGTCTCATTTTGATCAGAATTCCGCGGGCTACAATTCTGCCTCATTAAAAAGGTGCTGGTTATTTTTTTAGAGTTTCTGAAAAACTGGTTTTCCAGAAAACCGAGTCTTAAAGGGCCCTCCGCCCAAATCCTTTTAGCCTTTTTGCCTACTCGAGGTCCTCTATCGAATGATGTATGAACGAACGAAATCGGAGCCGGACACCTGGGGCGGTTCCCTCGTAAGATATCTTTTCTGTCTTATTTCCTTAGTTTACAGTAAGCAAAACACTTTGTTTTCTGGTTCTTTTGCCCTTCTTTTCTTAGTGGTTCCTGCACGTTCTCTTTTCTTAATGAGATATTGTGTCTTCATAAAATCCAGTTTCGTCCATTCAATCATTTTAAGATATTGTATGAATCTGCTCACATAGTTTCGGTTCAACGAAACTTTTGTTCGTGCAGATTCTTTTGCAAAGAATAAATTTGTAAACATACAGTTGGACTTGCAATTGCTTTTGGCTATCATGTAATTTTAAAAGACCATATACTTTTAGGACCAAAAATAGAGAATACTGAGAAAATTTTTTATCCTGATCATAATTACGCCAGGCTACTCTACATAGATTGTCTTGAAAATTTACGTCATTTTTTCTGCTGTGATTTCGTGTATCTTTCTTCGATTTTCTACTTCGAAAGAAAGAAAAAATTTTTATATAGGTGCGTCATTCCTCAATATCGGCAATAGAGAAAAAGAGCCATGTTTTATTTGTCAGGCTATCATGGTGATTGTTATTTGTATTTTATGGATGATCTGGCAATGAACTTTCTAATTATAAGAAAATGTAAAGATCCAATTTTTATTTATTTACTTAGCTCGGGAACGCTTACGCTACGAGCGTCTCAGTGTAATATCCAATCACCACATACATAAGTTAAGACTTTTGTTGCAGATTCACATTCTGGACAAATGTTTCTCAATTATAGTCCGAAAAGAGAACAAAATGTATTGGAATTTATTTCAAAATGTTCATCAAGAATCTCCATAGTAGAATATATAGATGAGTAATCCGTATGAAACATACCGCCATTTCAACGAATGTCCGCGCGAACTTTAAGACCGACTTCATTTTGTACAGCAAAACACTTTCGAACGACTCCGTGCAACGAACGGATAATACAATTTCAATTCTTTCCATTCAGCGCCCCTCGTTGGATACAATAACTCTTCACGATAATTACAGGTTTGATCCTTACAATAATTTTCAAAGTCAGCATCCTTACTCTCATGTAAAGACTTAACTGTTTCAGCGGGTCAGTGCATTTCCTTAGTTTTCCAGCTACTTTTGCCCGACTCCTAAAGGTTTCTGTTAGTCTAGTGAGGAAATAGACTAACTGGACCCACGGTTAGTGAGTGATTTCAAATGAGAGAACGTGTCAAATTCTATATATATAGTTGATGGAGAAAACTAGTGGTACAAATGAGGACGGTTGAGCTATGTGTCGCTGAAAAACTAGTGGTATTTCGGGTTATTTACTGTTTTATACACAATAAATTTGATGAAAATAATCTTGTAAAGGCTACTTTTGATGCTAAATTCGACTATTATATTTACAGAATCTATTTCAACTTTAATCAGATGTGAAACTGAGTTTTCCATTTTATGTAGAACGTTTACTGTTTTTGACATATACCAGATATATTATAATGACGAAGCCGACTCTCCCTCGGCAGTCAAGCATTAAACAATCTTAACTTTTTGCTTATTTCTGTACGGATATTTTATTCTGATATTCAGATGCTATATTACTTTATTTATATAAATGTATATATCTGTAGAAATAAATGGATAACTTTTTGATATGGCTATCTAATAGTTTCGTACATGTCAAAAACGGTAAAATTTTTGTAGAAACATAACAACGCAAGAAGCAAGAAAGTAGATGTATGATAGAAAAACAACAAAATGTTCGACAAAATCTGCTAACTCGTTGAGACGAAAGAGGGAAAAAAAATCAGTTTTTTTGACTTCTTAGTGAAAGAAATTGTCTGTGTTAGAAGTGACTGCGGTTATATATGTGTATATAGTTAGAGCTGTTTGACGTGGATGACTCGCGGCTAAAAAAAAATAGATGTTTGAAATAGTTCAAAATGTACAAATGAACAAGCGAAGCTTTTTGGTTTAGGCCGTAAAAACAGAATGAAAAATATGAACATGAACTTGAATAAAATGACGACTGAAACGGACTGAAATATTTCACTTTTCAATTATAGAAAAGAAAATAAATATCTATAAAGGATAGAAGGAAATAAATGAAGACTCGAGTGTTTGGTAACTGACATTTCTCGAAAAAATAGTACATTTCATCGCATCATTATCAAAAACATCATTTGGATTAAAGAAGTCAAACAGTTGAACACGTAAAAGATTCACATCACATACAAAAACTTTATTGAGTCAACGTAAAAAAAAAACGACGATAAATATAAACAAGCAACACAGTGTATGTAAAATTATGACCAACATATTTTTCCTATTATCATTGTTCAGTTTATTAATTCATGAACAAGTTCGAAGTGACTCAAACACTTGTACACTGACAGAACCAGATATTCTTGGACCTTATTGGCTTAATGGTGCGCCAGAGAAAAGTAATGTTGTATGTGATCATTTACCAGCAAATGATGTTTTGAAATTAAGTGGACGTATTGTTGATTTTGATTCAAAATGTGAGCGGGGTATTAGAGATGTTCGACTCGATATATGGCAAGCAAATTACAATGGTGTTTACTCGACAGGAAAATCATCGAACGATTGGTTTTGTAGAGGTGTTTTTCATGCCGATAGAAACGGATATTTTAAAATTTCTACACTGTTTCCTGGTCGTAAGTATATTGCTCTATAAATATAATTCTTATATTCACAGTTTATTTAATTTTTTTTTAGGTTATGATGATGGGGGATATCGACCAGCACATATTCATTTCAACATAACCGCTCCAGGATATCCCAAACTAATTACACAACTGTATTTTGAAAAGGATGCTTATTTATCGCCGGTTGACTCATGTCGTCAATGTCGCAGTGATTCAAAATCGTTAATTGCTTCAGTAACACATATTAATGATATTAAAACATATGAAGGATATTGGCAAATTGTTTTATCAAAAAAATCTCATGGTAAAAATGGTGGAAAAGCTAGATTTGTTCGTGGAGCTTATATTAACGTTACACCATATGTTATGCCAATTAATGGAACTTATCAGGACAATATAATACAATGAAACGTAGATGTAGATAACATTCAATTTTTACAATAAGACGTTAAATTTTTTTTACTGAATTTTTTTCAGTTTGAGAGTGAAATAAATAAATTGATGTTATATTATGTTTGACTAACTGACTGTCAAGAAGTCAAAACGTTTGAAATAGATCAACCAATGCACAGCATTTTCGGTTAAAACCAATTTTTTGTCTTCGTACTTTTCGTTCTTCCAAGATCTCTCCATAACGAAGATCATTGGAAACTAATTTTTTTTTGAAGTATTTTCTTCTTTAGTCATAATTTTTGTAAACAGTGAGCTGCATAATTCAGAGAACGACGTAACATTTTGAAAAAGAGAGATAGCTGTCTGGCACCTGAATGTGAACCATTTGACAGTTTCTTGTTTAAACAAAAGTCCAGATTCGGAGTTTCACAAGTGAAAGAATAATGTGTCTTGAACTTTGAAATTTTTAATATATTTCTAGTTTCCCAGTGCCATTTCTTTTTTTTTGACAGATTTGAGATATGAAGTTGTGTACATGTCTTTTAGGACACTTACATCTCTGTTCTCGGAAATTAAGTACAACTGATCCCGTTTATTAATTTTCGCGAAAAAATGCACAGATGATCCTGGTTTTCGTAATAATTTTGAATTAGTTATAAAATAACACAACTGTTCTCGGAAAAAGCTATCTTTTGTCTGGAAGAATACAATTGATCCCAGAAAATTAGCAAGTCATCGTACCGTCTTTCAGTATGAGGCTTACCGAGCAGTTATGTTGTCTTTTGGTAGTTAAATGTACTTATTTACCATCATGACTTATCGGCTTTTTGTTGGGTTTATGGTAGCCAGAGGCAATGTGCAAGTTTTGCTTATTAAGTGATTAATCTGTTAAATCTGTAAAAGAAAACAGTTCACATTAAGGATAGCCCAGGTCGACTCTCGCGCCCCAGTCGCGACGCGTACGCGACGTCGCGCAAGCGATCGCTATGAACTCCCGTTGTCGCGACGCGATCGCTTATGAGTCGCGAAGTCGCGGCGGGATCTTGAAAAATTCTTATCTAGAGAGAAGAGGAATTTTTAAGAGTCGTGGTGAGTTCGCGATGTCGCGGCGTGACTCTTGTGATCGAGAATTTCAGCAGACATACTCTGCTTAGTCGCGCCGCGACTCTTGCTGCGACAAGCTTTTCTTCAAAAGACTTGCTTAGTCGCGCCACGACTCTTGCTGCGACAAGCTTTTCTTCAAAAGACTTGCTTAGTCGCGCCACGACTCTTGCTGCGACAAGCTTTTCTTCAAAAGACTTGCTTAGTCGAGGCGCGAGGCTTGTTTGTTCTGTGTTATATCTTATATTATCTTGCTGAACTTGTATAACACACACATACTGAGAAAAAGAAAAGAACAAGCCACGTGTATGTGTGTTGTTGTCGCAAGCATGGTTACGTTGTTCTCTTCTTTTATCTTTAACTTATTGTATACACAACGTGTATGTTTTCTTTTAATAGTCATTTCTTTTTTGTTATCGCAGTGTTAAGATCACTTTGTCGTGCAGTCTACTGCAGCCATGCACTGCTTTTTTTAATTTTTTGTTTTAATATATAAGTTTGAAATATTAAATAATATATCACTAAAATTGTGGTAAGTACACAGCAATTTCAGTGTGTGGAAGCAGAAAAAAATAAGCCCTTTCGTTTTTGCTACGTTTGTTACAAAGTTGAGCCGTTTTTCTTCTAACAGTTTTGAAAGTCAAAAACTGGGTTATCTTTGTCAGAAAATGCATCAAATCTAAGAGATTCGCCTATATAGGTTCAATTAGCATGTGGACCGTGTTAAAAGATCTCAAAATAAATGCACTAAAGTG